AGTATAATGTCTCAGGTTTTAAGATAAGGTTATTCTATTCATTTGAAGATTAATTTAAACATTATTATGTCTAATTAACTTAAATTTGATTGGATTATTGAAGTTGTAGCTATTTTTTGACCTCCAAGATGACCTCCATATGAAGTTGCACAACATTGCTTTAAAATGGATTGTATTTTATCGTTTGAGACACAATGACTAAGCATATCATAATCACATTACTTAAATAGGTAGGAATCATCCTATAAATAACTTTCTGCTCTATGGAATTTTTTTTTCTTTTGCTGTCTAGACAAGTCTTTAGGGATATCCACAATTAGCTGATGAACATCAGGGAAGGAATTCTTAATGATGATAAACCACTTGATTGTTAGACCCTTTTGTATCTTGAATCTCTATTTCAAGTTCTTGTAACAACAGGATCCACGGAATCAACTTTCGCCTTGCATCTATGTTAGTCATTAGGTATTTGATTGCTGTGTGGTTCGTGCATACTTTAACCTTTGCGCCAACCAAATAGGATGAACACTACAGCCAACAACTCCTTTTTAGTAATGGTATAATTGATTGAGCTTCATATAATATTTTACTAGCATAGTAAACTAGGTGCAGTATTTTTTCATTCTTTTGTCCAAGCATTGCACCAACAACATAATCACTAGCATCATACATTAGTTTAAATGGAAACTCTTGATTGAGTGAAAACAATATAGGTGCAGTGATCAAGGCCGTTTTAGTGCTTAAAATTCTCTTAAACTCTTTTCATCAAACTCAAAATTCTTGTTTACTTCGAGTAGGTTGCAGAGGGGTTTTGTAATTGTTAAGAAAAAATTTCTGCATGTTCAAAGAAGCTTATCATCCCTTACGGTTATAGTGCATTTATACACACCCACCACAGTTCTTCCTATTTTAAGGAAAGGTCTTCCCAAATGATATGTACATATTTATCAGCCTCATGGTCCAAAATTTAAAAGATCTGATAGGAATATAAATTTATCTACTTGCAATAGGATATCTTCAATGTTTCGTTCAGGATAAGTGATAGATCTATTAGCTAGTTGAAGTGTGAATGAGATTAGTCGAGCGTTACCAATACCCAATAGAAAGAGGCATTAGGTTGATGCTTGCTCTCAAATATCAAAGAGCTCTTCCTAGCAACTGTCCTCTAATTGACATTGAAATAGTGAAGGATCTAGAGTCTTTCTCTTTTTGAGGAATCTTATTTTTCAGGACAGTACATTCCTCATTCAATGGCACTACCTTAAACTCTTCAAACTTTTTCCACTTAGTGACGATGTCCTGAAGGAATTTTGCATGGTTATGCATTTGCTTGAGGGCTTCTACAATGGTGTGTTTATATGTATTTTCTTTAAAATGTCCATAAACTTTTCGAAGTGGGTTTCCTCTTTCTTCTTCTTCAATCTCGTGAAAAGGAGGAGATGGGTATATGTTTTTTTGGTGAAGGGGGCACAACTTTATGATTCTATTGGCTTCACTTAAGGAACCTCCTCCTCATTGAGCATTGTTTAACTTCTGATTCGGTTGTGGCTTATTGAATTCCAAAATTTTGTTGATTTTGTTCAAATTTAGGGAGATAGTTCAGTTTCTATTGCATATGAGAGTTGTTAGCATTATGTCCTAAATCTCCATGGGAAAATTTTGAATGATTTCTCCACTCAGGGTTAGAAGTGTTTGAGAATGGATTATTTCCCTGATTCCCTTGGTTTCCAACATAGACCATTGAGGTGGATTTTTTGGGAAAAATTTGAATGCCGTTTTGTCGAGCCCAGTTTTGGTCCCTAGTTTGATGGTTGTACATGCTAAAAATCCGATACATTTCGTTTTGTTTCCCATTTCAGTCTTTCGCAACACTTCAGGTTTACTTCTTTTGTTAGTTCTCGACTTATTCTCTATGATCTTCCAATAGATTCTCTACAACACACATGATTCAACACACACATGATTCAATAGATACTTAGCAGAATTTGTAGTCTGATTGGTTGCATCATTTGGTGTGTTTAACTCAAGGTTTAGCTGTACTTTAGGATCAGGATTTGGTATGAGTTGTTCTATCATTCTAGCTCTTTGTTCAATCAATCTTCTTTTAAAAGTTCTTTCAATTTCTGGATCTAATACAAACTCTAGGCCATAATTTTAAATTTCTGCTTTGGCTTAAGTTCGAAACTCTTTACAATGGTCTTCTTAATCTTGCTTAAGTAATTTGGATGTAACAGGTAGGAGAAATTCCAGAGCAAAGTCATTACACTTATGACATGGTATATAAAAATTGACACAACACTAACAAAGATAGATGAACAATGGAGGAGGGAAGAAGAACTAGCATAAGCTTCCTCAAAGTTCCCTTAGTTCCATCTTCTTGCTTTAGATACTCTTTGTTTCTATTTTGGCTATTCTTGCGTCTATGCTCTCCTAAGAGATAAGTAAACCTTCCTAGGCTTCCTTTCTTGGGTCTGTTTTCTTGTAACAGGTATCATGTCAATCTTCCTCCACATTCTACCAAAAAAACGACTCGTATTCTTTTATAATCTCGAGTCGATTGAATTCAAGACAAATTAGACATGCCCTCCTTTTTGCATGATTTTCATTGATTCTCTTCTTAATAGCTGTCCTCTATGATGTTTATGGCTTTGTTAACTGATGTCATCATCTGTACATGAGGTTCTTGCCTTTACTTCAAAAAATGCTAAACGTAGGTTCGAAAAGTGATGTCACTGTTAGACTTGAAAAATATAACACATGCAAGGGACCTACATTTTGTTACTATTCCTTGGGTATACTTTATTTTTTTGGATAGAGTTATATGCATAGTACTTCTCTAGACATTGTGCACTCACACATGCATGAACCTATTAGGCTGACTTGTATATGTACCCCTAAACTTGACCATGGGTTAGTGCATGCTCACACTACCAGAAACCAACAAAAAGAAAGGAACACATATCATATCATGACGTACACGTTTGTATGTAACATATATTGGGATAGTAACTTGTGCTCATGACACAACATCCATGAGGTCTTATATTTTAAATCATTGTACATGGTCATGATGCGCATCGCACTTATTTCATGATATGGATGGCCTATGAGACATACACATATGCAAGAAATATCATTCATAGTTATCATACGCGATCAAGTGTCTTATGGGGCATAATGTGATCATAGTATCATAACATAAATAAATCAATACACTTGGAACTATATGCAACACAACATATCATAAGGATATCCATATTACATAAATAAGCCAGAAGTTATGTGTTAGTCATACATCATACAATTTGTCCAACCTAGCCTGAAGGCACTCTAATAGTAAGCTCATTTACCTCATTTTCTAGGCCGAAGCGTCTGAGAGTGTGTGGGTTGGGTTTTGGTAGATTTGTTTTCGAAGCAGAGGTTTGATTTCACAAAATGATGTCATGAACTTATACCTTTAAAATAGTCTTAAATTAAAAGAAAGAAAATATTTAAAGTAAATTAAAATAAAACAAAGAAAAATCAATGAATATCTCGATGATTCATTTATACATGTCTATGTCATTCAACATTTCGTATCCTTCAACATATTGTACCATTCAACTTTCTTTCAAAATACATCATATCTTTCAATATATTATACAATTCAACATATCATATCATAAAACACAGTACACATCAAACATATGACACGTGTGGGGCCGTAGGAAACGTGTCATTTTGCATTACACAACTCTTCCAACCATACCGATAGTAAGGTCACTTACTTAGTTGGCCTTAGCCGACATTCTATCCTATCTTCGAGATTAGCTTGACTTGTCCCAAAAGTACAAATTGGAAGTGAAGAGCTAACAAAACCTTGCAGAGGATTGAAGCAAATCGTTTTAACAACCCACTTTCAAACATCTTTTCATTTTACGATAGTTTTCGGAGTGTGAGAGGGAAAAGAGAAAAATAAATGGGAGCGTTTTAGTTAAATGAGCGTGTGAGCGGAGAAAATTTGGGGGCGTGGATTAAAGAAACCATATTTTATTTATTTTACTTATTATTACTATTTATTATTATATTTTTACTATCGTTACAATGCTTAAGCAACTCGACAACTCATATAAGACCGTTTCTTTCATTGTGATGCAATTAGCTACAATAAACATTTAATAATTTAGAACAAAATACCCATTAAAATAGTAATCTCCACATTTCAAAGACAATAAGAAAAGACAACAAGAAATATCAATAATTGAGGGATATCTAGAGCAAAACTCCCCATTATATCAAAAAATAATCATATAATCTATAAGGGATTTTTGTGTTTAGCGATAAAGATCTTTGTTAGTGATAATGGAGAGATTTTTTACCTCACGAGCTTGCTCATCGTCTAATCATTCCATCACTCGATCCCGTAAAGATGCTGTGAAAGAAAATACGAATATCTTGAGCATGCCGCCTTTGAGCTTTGGTGAGAAATTTGAAGATGCTTAATAACATAATCTTGATTTTTCGATATCCACATACAATCAAATTGAATCAGAATCTTGCTTTTTTAATCTTTATTTGGTAGGTGTTTTAGTTCTCTTGATTTCAAGTTCATAAATATAGATCGTGTTTTGATTTCAATGATGAATAATGCGTTAGTAATAGTTATTGACCTTTTTATAGTAAGCTTTGAAATCTTTTGGAAGTATATTAAAAATTTTAGTATCTCCATTATAGTCGGGAATATTGAATACACTGTGTAAACTAAATATTGAAACAAACATATATCACACATAGTAAACTAATCAGAGGCCATGATTTGTGTATGGGGATCGTCTTCATTCGGCCATCTCTTTTATTTGGTACTAATATTCTCTTTGTTTCCCTGCAAGAAAATAATAGGATTTGATGAATACCAATGCTAAGATGATCAATTTTCTCGAACATTATTAGAAAAATGGTTACATCAAGGAGAATTGCAATTAAGAAATATACCTCAATGGAATAGTAAAATGTTCGTGCATCTAATAGTATTGAGGAGGTGGTGGAGACTTGTACTCGTAGTCTTTCTTAGGTGGTGGAGGAGACTTGTAAACGGGTGGGGGAGGAGAGTAGTATACAGGTGGAGGTGGGGATTTATACTCCTTTGGTGGAGGTGGAGAATAATAAACGGGAGGAGGTGGAGAGTGATATACAGGTGGTGGAGGAGAATGGTAAACTGGAGGAGGTGGTGACTTATAAACCGGTGGTGGAGGAGAGTGGTATACAGGTGGAGGAGGAGAGTAATAAACTGGAGGAGGAGGAGAATGGTAAACTGGAGGTGGTGGTGACTTGTAAACTGGTGGTGGAGGAGAGTAATAAACGGGAGGTGGTGGAGAGTGATAAACAGGTGGAGGAGGAGAATGGTAAACTGGAGGTGGTGGTGACTTGTAAACTGGAGGTGGAGGAGAGTAATAAACTGGAGGTGGTGGAGAGTGATAAACAGGTGGGGGAGGAGAATGGTAAATTGGAGGTGGCGGTGACTTGTAAACTGGTGGTGGTGGAGAGTAATAAACTGGAGGTGGGGGTGACATGTAAACTGGTGGAGGAGGAGAATGGTAGACTGGAGGTGGCGGTGACTTGTAAACGGGTGGTGGTGGAGAGTAATAAACTGGAGGTGGTGGTGACTTGTAAACTGGTGGAGGAGGAGAGTAATAAACTGGAGGTGGTGGTGACTTGTAAACGGGTGGAGGAGGAGAATGGTAAACTGGAGGTGGCGGTGACTTGTAAATTGGTGGTGGAGGAGAGTGATAAACCGGGGGTGGTGGAGAGTGATAAACAGGTGGAGGAGGAGAATGATAAACTGGAGGTGGTGGTGACTTGTAAACCGGTGGAGGAGGAGAGTAATAAACTGGAGGTGGTGGTGACTTGTAAACAGGCGGAGGAGGAGAGTAATAAACTGGAGGTGGTGGCGATTTATACCCTTTCTTTGGTGGTGGTGGAGAATAATAAACAGGAGGCGGTGGAGAGTGGTAAACAGGAGGCGGTGGAGATTTATAGACGTAGTAAGGAGGCGGTGGAGAAGAGTAGCTATAATCAGTAGCGATCACCGACGTAAAACTCAAAATTGCCACCAAAACAGTAGCTACGAGATACGCCATCGAAGGCTTGGATTCTCCCATATCCTTGTATCTCTCAATGGTATCTTTGTTTTGCTTCCAAACATGCATCTCCACCCTTTATATAGCTTCCATTCATTGCTCCTTCAAGGCCATCAAATCATGGTCAACAAATTTAAGTATTAAATTGTTCATTGTTCTACCTAATCTTAGTAGAAATATAATGCAATATGCTTGACAAATGAGACCGGCCTGCTTCGTATTCAAATTTGGATTAGATTATAAAATTATATAGATTTGTAACACAACTCGTTATTCGTTCTTCGGTTGAATACTTCTTCGTGTAACAATAGCGACGTATTTTTTATATTTTATGTCGAAGGATAGTTGCATATATACAATTTCAAATAATATTATTTGAAAAAAAAGTTTATGATTTTTCAAAATAATAATTTCAATTTTTATCTCGTCGTTATTCTATCATCAATGATTTAACTTCAGACACGTTCATAAACATGCTTGCATAATTTTAAGTACGTACTCACATCACATAAACTACAAAACGAATCAATAAACCATACCAACCAAATTTCACATTTTCAATTTTGTACAGATCTAGGATAATGAATTTGGAAGGTTGGGAAAGACTGATTCCAATGAAATCAAATAGTGACCGACGCCTTTTGGTGATGAATTAGATTATAATATTTCTTGAGAATCAGTCGCAAGAGGTTGAAGAAGTGTGGATCCTGTTGTAAAGTTGATGAAATTTTTACCAACCCTATTATACTTTTAAAGTGATAAAAAAAAAATATATATCATATTCTTATGTTAGGTAATATGTGGATTAAAATAATGTGTTGTTGAATTGAACGAGTATGTATGATTTATGTGATCTGTGTATGGTCATATATGATCGATTATGACTTTGTATGAATGTATGTATTATACGAGAAATCATGAATTAAAATTGTTCGTAAAATACGATAGACAGATCATGATTATGAATTCATGTCTCGAAAAAAGTTATAGTGCATAATATCACTGAACTGATGGTTTAAATGGTGAGACATTATGCATATTGCATGCTCGTGTAGTAATAGATTACTTCTCCAATATTATTCATGATCCTTTATCTTTTAGGTTTGTTTTGATGTCGTGAGTATGCGTTAGCCCATAATTAGACCTTATGGGTACGTTAACGAGTTCTCCTAGTAGGTCCATGTGCACGTGTGTAGACCTCATGTAGAGAAGTTCTATGCATTCAACCATCCTATAAATATGAGCAGAGTCCAAATTCAGTCATGAATTTAAGTCACATAACATGCTGTATGATGTTTGTCACACATCGAGATGACCAACCGAACTTTTGGCTCATGACTTGTCTCACTGACCCCTAGGTATGGTTAGATTAACTAGGGAGCTAGTTGACTGTGATTTCGCCCTTTTTCGAGCTTTTTTCTCTAAACCTTTTTCAAACTAGTTGACCTGTGACTTTTTGCCGTCGGTACAACATAAATATTGAAAAAGTAATTAAATAATAATAATAATAATAATGATGGAGGGAGCCAGCTAGAATTTATAAATGTGAATTATTAAAAAAATATTTGATTATTAAACTTGAAAAGTTCTTAGGGGGAAAAAAGGTTAAATATAAAGTAAAATCTAACACGAAAATACCAAGTTGTTGATTGAGAGAGAAAATATAAAATTGTAAATAAAAAAAAAATATATATATATATATATATATATATATTAAGGAATAATGAGACAAATTAAAATATAGATTTTATTATATGGTCAAATGAATAAAATATAAAGGAGATTATATTAATTAAATTATGGTATGTGATAAATTAATGGATGAATTGGACGACGGTCATGATAGAGCAGGAATTTGGATTATTTGGCTAAATAATAATAAAAAAATGAAATAAAATAAATAAATAAATAAAAGAAATTTTTTATTTAAACAAATTTCAAAAAGTTCAAAACAATTTATTATCCAATTAATCTTACCAAAAAGTCTCGATTCGATGTTGGACAGTGTTCGAACTTGTTTAATCTTGTAACCCTAATGTCGAATGAAGTGGGTACTCGAGATTGGAGTTAACTATGCCATGGATGATGTAAAACAGTGTCGAAATGAACGTTGCCAGAATTAGGGAGGAAACTAGTTGCCTCGTACATGCGTGTGAGGGAAAATCGATTGGGATATGAAGCTTGATGCCAGTAGAGATATATTTGGAAGATATTTCGTAAATATCTGATAGAGATATATGGTAGATATTTGATAAAGATTTGATAGAGATATATTCGGTAGATTATATCTCGTAGGTTTAAAATTTTGAAACCATATATATACCCATTAGTCAGTGCTATACTTTTCTTCATTCTTCATATTCTATCTTGTCGTACATACGTGAAGTGTGAAGTGATCAGTAATAAAACCTTTAGGCCAATATTCCTCCTTGAATTTTCTCTCTTCTGTTCTTTGTATTCATCTTGATCGAGTGTGTGCGTTGTTGAGCAATCCTAACAATTGGTATCAGAGCTAACAACTGATATCAATGCTAATACTTATCGAATTTGGAGTCTCGAGTGTAAGCGGCTTCTGTTAGCACTATATTTTTCTTTAATTTTACTAACATTAATTGAATCTTTATCTTCTAAATTTACGCAATAATTAAAAAAAAGGAAAATTCAAAGGCAAACATCATCCAACATGGGATGAACCAAAAAAACAAGAACAAAAGAACAAAAAATGTGTAATGGCATACATACCAAATCATAAGCGCGTATTTCGCATTAATTAATTCCTTAATCTTTTTCATTGACCACTCTCCATGGATTAAATTTGGCCCAACAAAATACTTTTGGTCGGGTTTTTAGACTTTGGTGGATAATAATTTAGCGTTTTTGTACTTTTAAATATGTAACCATTTAGCCCGTCGTTCTCACAATTCGCCCCTTCCAGGGTCTAGCATTCTCGCTGACACTTGTTCCCTTCTTCCATCGAAGTGGGACCCTCAATCCACCCTCTTCAGGGCACACCATCTCGTGTTCACTCCCCTTTGGAGCTTAGCCTCCTCGCTGACATATCACCCAGTGTCTAGCTCTGATACCATTTGTAACAGTCCAAACCCACCGCTAGCAGATATTGTTCTCTTTAGGCTTTCTCTTTCAAGTTTCCCCTCAAGGTTTTTAAAAGGGTAGGGAGAGATTTCCACACTCTTATAAAGAATGATTCGTTCTCCTCCCCAACCGATGTTGGATCTCACAGTAAGAAATAGAGATGTTCACCAGACAGAGACGTTCAGTTTCTGCCACCTGTTTCAAGCTGTAATTTTGTGAAACTATTCATTTATTTTGTAGAGATCGAGTTTCTCGCCGAGAATTTTTTTTTCCTTTCCAGTATAATTATTCAAATTTCATCTTTGATTAGTGTGACATTCAAATTTCTATAATTTCTACTAATACAAATTTCAATATATATATACATACACGGTGGAGAGGGGCGGAAAATTGGGTAGAGTCTGGTGGGGAATACGATCTCTATCCCTAACCCATTTTAGCTAACGAGAAAAAACGTTCTCCTTGCTCCCTCTTTCATTCCCCGTTTCCATCACATACAAGCCGAGTTTTTAAACATTGCTTATCTTTTATTCATCATGGAGACAATGGGAGATAATTAAATGAAGTGTTATAATGATTAAATAAAAGGAAGCTTTGTTTGAAAAAATGGTGTAAAATAAGACATGAGGGAAGAAAAATGAGCAATATTTTTGGAGTTTGGCAAAGGTTAGTTGGCATGTCTTACTCCAATTTTGAACCAAATTATATTGATCATATTCTTAAATAGCCTTTAATTGAGATGCATTGACTAAGATTAAGTACTAATATTGAATTTTTCAATTATGTCACTATTTCTAAAAAAATCTAAACATAATTTAGTTAAATAATTAAAAAAAGTAGCAACTTAAAAAAGTAGAAAAATAAGAAAGGTTAGACTTGTAACACCAAATGTTATGAAAGCCCTTCGAACTAATTCAAGTAGAAACAGCTAGAAGCTTAAGCTTGCAAGGTGACCCCATGTGCCTTACCTGATGGCAACCTAACTCGAACTGCAACCTCGGTGTGCACCTTGACCTATGATCTGCGACCGACCCCTACACTCGGCTTGAAAAGCTCAACTTGCACTCCTTCTTTAATGTCAGCTCGGTGCATTATGCTTGTATTTGGAAGTAAATGTCAAGAATTATTTATGCATTCGACGTTTGGGTTAGAAAATAAATTTCAAGAATTATCTGTGTTTTAAGAATTTATCGTTTGAATTATAAATTAAATACAAAAATTATCTACATGTTATAGGAATTTACCTATGGAGATCGTCGTTAAAAGGGGTCAAGAATGATCAAAAGAGGCCATAAGTCGACTAAAAAGGAAGAAAATGAATCTATTCTCCACCTCAGCCCATGTGTCTCCCGGCCCGTAAATGAATCTAGCCCAAACACTCAGTGTCTGGCCCAATCCATTTTTGCCTCACCCCGCACGCGACCTTGAATCCTACTCCGACCTAGTAGTGACTCGACTCAAAATGCAACCTACATGTGCCCTGACCCAATTACTCGTTTAGGATAGTCGCCTAAGGGAATACAAATTTAGATGATAGGTCTCATTCATGATTGTATGTGTTTGAGTCTAACTCACTGGAGTCAATTACGGACTATTTCTTAAAATACTCAAGTCACGTGTTACTTCTATATTTCAGGTAAAGGCAAGGTATTTTTGTATGGTGATGGTGTCATTGTAACTTTAAAGACTATGACACATGCATAAGATAGTTGTATTTAATTTGATAGACTATAGGTTAATGTAGGTTGTTTTGTTTTAAAGACATTTTATTGAACATGTAAGTTCATGACAATGTTTTATGAATATGTTTCCAGTGATTATTTCTGCATAAAACGGTTACGCTATGTATATAGTAACGACTTTAGGTTAGTAGAAATCTAGGGTCGTTACAAATAGTACCAGGGCTAGACACTAGGCGATGTGCTAGCGAGGAGGTTGAGCTCCAAATGGGGGCTGGACACGAGGCGATGTGCCAGTAAAGACGTTGGGATCCACGAAGGGGGTGGATTGGGGAGTCCCACATCAATTAGAGAAGGGAAGGAGTGCCAACGAGGACGCTGGACGTTGAAGGGAGGTGGATTGTGAGATCTCATATCGGTTGGAGAGGGGAACAAAACATTCTTTATAAGAGTGTGGAAACCTCTCGTAAGTAGACGAATTTTAACAACCTTGAAGGGAAGCCCTAAAAAGAAAACCCAAAGAGGATAATATCTGCTAGCGGTGGGCTAGTGCTATTACAGTCATAAGAGTTGAAACTAATAGGAAAACGTCTTAGCATATCATACCCAAATCAGATCAGTCGAAATGTCGGCATGGAGATGTCAAAAAATGTATTTCTTGACAAGCTTCAAACACTCAAATGCGATGAAATGAAGACCAAATATTGTATTTTTTAACCGGTTCGAACAACTTTCATTTTTTTTTTTGAATTATTCCGTATGGATTGTGGGTAAATAATTTTTTTTTTAATAACCCGATAACCCGGGTTGGGTTCGGCTGGGTTGGATATCAATCCAACCAATCCGAACTTTTGGGTTGGTCCAAAAAAATTTCTTCAACCCAATCCAACTCGACCTATATACACCCCTAATCTCGAGACATTACTTTGGCCTCCATCACGTTGTGGTCAAATAAAATAAGTGTATTGTGATGCTAACCTATGCCAGTAAAGTCAACATAATCCCAACATAAAAATGGCAAGAACTCCGACCATATCAAACATAAATATTTAAATTTCAAGTTACACCCCTTCCAACATGTTACACCTAGGGCTGACCTCGACAATAAAAATTCATGCAGGCTGTCGTCTAAGGAATTGTAGTACGCGGTTCGGTGATTTTAATAATTCTGTTCATCAGTCGGCAGATGTTGAAGAAACGTGTGATTGTTTGTTTCTTCTTTGTATATATTTTTTGTAATGTTTTCATATTCCTTTTGTTTTGGATAGTTTTAGAATCCGACTTTCCATAATTATATGATATTATCCACTTAAAGCATAAGTTCTCGTGGCTTTGCTTTAGGCTTCTGTAAAAGGTTTCGTACCAATAGAAAGAGTATTCTTCGATTATAAACCTATGATCATTCTCTAAATTAGCCGAGGTGGGACCTTCATCTAACATTACAAATATATTGTATAATAGCGTGACATATGTCATTTTTATGTAAATTTTTTTTGGAAAAATGAATATTTAAACTGCTAAAGTTGTGATGTTTTAATATACTAGAAGTATTTGTTTTTTAAAATATTAATTCAAGTCTTATGTATTATGCTAATGAATTAGTTTCATTTTTGTTTAATCTTTATAGAATTATTAATTTTTATTTAAATTGAAAAGATTGACTTTCGTTCATTGAATAAAATTTAAATATTATTGCTAGAGGTAATGTTAAGTTAGATCTATTAGAATAAGTCATTTGTCAAATCGTTGTAATTGATGTCCATCTTCGTAAGATTTTCAATGATAAAGAATTAAACTAGTTTAATTGTTCTTAATATTCTAATTTTTCTAAATTTAGGCGGTAACATGTTCATGATGAAATAAAATAAGGGATGTGGATAACTTGTATACCGTTTTGGCTAAATATTTTCTTTATTCTTTCGAGCAGTTCTCGTTGTGTTCATACTAAGAGGGATGTCTTGTACCAAAATCAATCGTCTTGGGTCACAAACCCTTGGTGGTTGTATCTGTATGGAAATGGACGCTTTTATGTCAACAACAAAAATTTAAGCTCGTAGAATTGTTGATCTTGCCGTGGCTGAATAAAACATAGCAAGCAATTCACGTAAAGATTATAAAAATTGAGATTTTTCTACTTAAGGATGACCTCAATCGAAAAATAAAAGTAAACACCTAAATCAAGAACTACGAGATCATCCTTTTCGTTATGGGTTATGGGTAGTAAAGGGATTTACCATTAAGATTTTTTTTTTTGTTTTTTTAAGGCTTAAAAATGCAATCTCAAATATTGTGTAATAATATTATTATACTCCAATAATGTATCAGTTTTTGGTTTGCCCCATCGAAATAGACAAATGAAACAAAAGGAATAACTTCTAAATCTTTTCAACTGAAAAATCTTTAAGCATTTCTGTTTGTCGTTGTGAATAAACGTCTAAAGACTATTTATGGGGGAGAAAATTCTCCTAACTATTACTACCATTCTCAAGTAACTATTAACCATTCTCACAAACAAATGAGTAACAATTTTAATATTTACTGCCAATTATCTTAAAATTTCTAGAACTTACTCGTAGATTCTTTAAACATTCTCGAGTTATTAACTTACCTTCTCCTCCATAAACTTGATTTTACTCGAGATTCTTCATTTTCAGCAACTCACGCATATCTGCAAATTTAATCATTGTTAGAGTCTGAGTGAGAATGAATGACGACTAAAGACAACTAAGTAAGTAGCCTTACTATCGGCTCGGTCGAAAGATTTGCCTTATGTACGACGACATGTGCCTAGTGGCCCTTGCACTTGTCATTTATGCTTTATATTATATGATGATGTGACTATGTTATACAATGATGAAACTATGATGTGATTATGTTATATGATGTTATATGATATTATATGATAATGTTATATGATGATGACATGATGATGATATTGTATGATAACATGACGATGTAAGATGCATGATGATGAGATGACCTAATATGACGTTATTCCATATTAGGATGATGTGTATGTATTAAATTTCATGATGCATTATGACGATTATTTTGCTAAGACACAACCCTAATTAATGTTAATAATGATGAACGTACGAAGAGGGTAATGTGTGAATGGTGTATAGGATTGTATCATAAAGATGATTTAAAGATGGAAACTATAGGGACCTCATGCAATTTGTGTATTCATATACATCGGGTTACTTCCTCATTTATGAGGATGAGTACGGACGCGTACACTATGATGATGATCTTCATCATGCCACACATGACATTCGGGAGACTGTTGACATTTGGATGTCGGCTATGGACAGCTAGCCCAACTATGATGGGTCTAGGGGGTGTGAACTTGTAACACCCGCTTATCGTCAACGATTAACAGGAGTTAACATCGACAATATTAAGAGACTCTGATATCCAATCATAAAATTCAAAGTATTTCAAAAACAACATCCAGTAAAATATTTAAAAAAAAAAAAAACAGTACTTTAAAAAACTTAAAACGACTAAGGTAAATTCTTGACAACGGAAACATAATTACATAACAGACCCAGACATGGATTCCCAGTAGTCTCTAGCCCGCTGGTCTCGTCCTCGGCTGGCCTGCAGCATCTACATCTGGAAAGAAAAGTTATAATAATTCTGATGAGTAATTAGATTACTCAGTAAGTAGCTAGCTTATCATTCACGGGTTCATAACTAATCTTTCCAAGTGTTTTTACGTTTTATTCATCACTGACTCCTAGTTCTCTTACTAGGGTCATCTGTTTGTTAATGAGGTATCTCAGCTACCTCCAGCTAGGTTACTGACTCTCTCTCAATATGCTTATCTAGAGTTTTCGGACTCGTATGTAAGACTCGCTCTCGGTCAAATACGGCCCGTCTACTAATTGCTCTGGCGGCCTATTTATCTCATATACCAACGGTCAGGAGTACTCATGCTCCCTGACTTAGCACACAGCGCGTTGGCCAGGAACTCTGCGGGAATGAGTAGACTATCATACTCAGTAAATAAGCCATAGCTCAACCACCAATAAGCATATCTAGAGTCATAACCTTTCCATTAACATGCATAACATACTCACAGTTACTGCATGCTTCCATACATGTATCATGATCAACACGTAGAACATTTTGACAATCATTTATATCACGCTTACATCACAGGCAAGCAGTCACAATATACAATAAACACTAAATATCATCAAAGTTCATCATAACTTATTAAGCTCTTAATCAGGTAAACAACATACTCACATGTTGTAGAACGAGTTCAAAGGTCGATACGCTACTTACTTGGTTGCGAACTCCTTTTCCCCCTTGAAGGTACGTTTAATAGTATTTCAACACAATTCCTTCCTATTAGACCTATATTTTATCGATTTCAACATAAGTACAGATCATTTTTGATAGGACAGGTCAAAAGGAGTCGAACGGGACAAACCGGGAGCAGAAATACCTTCGCACGCGCCCTCACGCGCCAACACAAGGTCAATATCGTTTTCTCACGCGCCTGATCCTCGCACAGTCGCACTTCCACTCGCGGCCTCCCACGCGCCTCGCGTGTCCTTCACGCGCTCGTCTTCAACCTCTCCTCCCTGCAATTTTTCCAATCTTTTTCCTTAATACCCGTTGTGTCCCGAAGCAAAAATTTCATCTCTACAGCTCGAATTTCGTGCTGATTTCTTCTACAACTTTATAGATCTCCTAACTACGGTTCTAACAAGCCTTATTTCATAATTTATTATGCAGTATGAATCAAGATATCGAGATTTAAAGGTTCGGTGATATGGGTTTTTTTTTCGTTACCTTCGAATTACCGTTCGATTCAGCTCGGGGCCGTATCCCTTTCCTCAAAAGATTCCTCAGCAACAACCCCTCTTCCTTTACCCTCGATTGATGTCCAATTTTAAGCAACCAAAAACTCGAATTCTCCAAAAATTTCCTCCTCTGTTTTCTGGGTTTCTCTCCATCTCCATTCTTCATTTTTCTTCCCTTTTTAAAGCCTAATCAAGCTCTAATACGCTTCCACATCCCCTAATCATCCACTCATCCATCCTACGCCTCCAGCTACGCGTCCGCCGCCCCTCATCCCCCCTTTACAGCAGCTGCTTGACGCAGCTGCTTTGTTTCGTCGTTTATTTTTTTTATTTTTTATTATTATTATTATTATTATTATTATTATTATTATCATCATCATCAAACACACCACACATAAAATACAAAATACATTTGTCATTATTTATTTATTTTTTATTTTATTATTATTATTTTTTTAGGTTGTTGCAGAACTGCTCGGAGATTCATGCTCGCATGTGTGGGTCATGTGTAGGGAAGTACTACGCACCCAATTTTATCTTGACTAGAGGCCATCCCTATGATGGTTTTAACAAGAGGTCTTTAATCATAAGTTGCATGTATTTGCATTCTCTGACCCCAATAATCAAGTCACTTACTAAGTATTTCTTAAAATACTCAAGTGGTGTGCTACTTCTAGTTTAGGTAAAGGCACGATACCCTTATACGACTAACAACAACATCACAAGTAGAGACCATGGTACGTGCATAGGATAATGCTACTTAATTTTCTTAAACGTAGATTAGTATAAGATGTTTTTACTTTTAATGTTTTATTTGTTTTATTTATAATTCATAGAGTTGTTTTAAAAATGTTATCAAATATATAAGTCCATAACCGTGTTTTATGATAAAATTTTTAAATATTTATTTCTACCTAAGAGAGTATAATATGATAACAGTAAGTACTTTAGTTTAGTAGAAATTTAGGGTCATTATAGGAAGTCTTCGTGTTACTTTTTTTTTTTTCAAAATTACCTACTCTTTTATTTCTCTCTTTTATTCTTCCTAATCTCATCAATTAAGTCACTTGCAAATTCTTGCTGGGAATGGGAATGATGTTTGAAAGGACTGAAATGTTGTTAATTGTCATAAGTTTTTTTTATTTAATTTAGTAATGAACTTTCATAATTTTATAAGGTTGATTAAATAAGAATATTATTAATCTTGTGATTTAATTTTGTAACCATTTTAATATTAATCTTATTTAATTCTACAACGTTTGATGATTCAAACAATTGTCCCTATATAATGAGTTTGTCTAGGAGGTTGAGGATATCGGAATTTGATATCGGAGTTTGATTGAGTTTGTGTGTCACAGTGTATTTCTTGAATGACATTTTGGTAAGAGACTTTGTAGTGTGAGAGTAAGATATTCACTTGTAACACTTTGAATATTAGTGATTGATTGTTACCCGTGGATGTAGGAGAATTTTTTCTCTCCGAACAACGTACATAACTTAGTGTCTCTTTGTGTAATTTCGTTCATCGGTGTTGTGAGTATATTCGTTCCGCTTTCGGGCCACAATAAATGGTATCAGAGCCATATTGTGGTTTTTGGATTATTATGAAAGTTTTGACCTCATCGACTACTATACGTGCTCACTGTCGTGCTTATTTTCTTGAAAATCAAATTTTTAAGAATTGGGTTTTTCTACTTTCATCCAGATTACTGGTTACAAATGGCAGAGTCATCTGGAATTATATCATGGCGGGGATCGAGAATTTTGAGTTCTAATCTCGAAGTATAGAAATTTGATGGAACAAAAAAATTTGGTGTTTGGCAACGCGAAGTTGGTGATTTGCTGGCCATGCAAGACCTTGATGCTTCTCTCATAGAGGAGATGCCTGAAGACATGACAGACGCCGAATGAAGGAAATTAAATCGACAAGCTTGTGGAATTATTTGATCCTGTCTTGGCAAAGATCAGAAATATCCATTTATGAAGGTGCCCATCGTGAAAGAACTATGGGACAAGCTTGAGGCGAAATATATGTAAAAGAGTGTGAAAAATAAACTCTATATATTTCGCCTTTTAAGTCAAAACTGAAAAGTTTCTTCTTCAAATGGATTTTATTTTCCACACTCTTCCTGCATATATTTCACCTCAAGCTTGTCCCATAGTTCTTTGGCCATAGTCACCTTCATAAATGAATATTTATGATCCTTGACAATATCGAATAATTCCACAACAATCAGGATCAAATAATTCCACAAGCTTGTTGATTTTTGGCTTCTATCATATCTTCAGTCATCTCCTCTTCTAGAGAAGCATCAAGGTCTTGCATGGCCAGAAAATCGCTAACTTCGTCTTGCCAAACACCAAAATTTTTTGTTCCATTAAATTTCTCTACTTCGAGATTAGAACTCAAAATTCTCGATCCACGTTGTGATTTAGTTACAGATGACTTTGCCATTTGTAATAAGTAATCTTGCCATTTGTAATAAGTAATGTAATAAGTAATCTGGATGAAAGTAGAAAAACACAATTTTTGAAAAATTGATTTTCAAGAAAACACGATTGTGAGCACGTCTAGTGGTCGGTGAGGTTAAAACTTTCACAATACCCCAAATACCACAATATGGCTCTGATACCACTTGTTGGGCCGAAAGCGGAACAAATGTACTCACAACACCAATGAACGAAATTACACAAAGAGACACCAAGATATGTATGTAGTTCGGAGAGAAAAAATTCTCGTACATCCACGGGTAGCAATCAATCACTAATAATCAAAGTGTTACAAGTGATTACCTCACTCTCACACAAAATCTCCTACCAAACTATCACTCAAGAAATACAATGTGACTCACAAAACTCAATCAAACTCATATCAAATTTCCATATCCTCAATCTCCTAGACAAGCCCATTATATAGAGATAATTGTTTGAATCATATCGAAAATTAAATAAGAATAATGTTAAAATGGTTACAAAATTAATAACCAAATTAATAATAGTCTTATTTAATATAAATGGATGAAATTGATGAGAGTGAATAACTAAATTAAATACAAAACTTATGACAATTTACCAAAGTGATTGGATTGTTTTTTTTTTTTTAATTTTATTTTATGTTTTTCCTAGGTCGGTGGGTACATTTTAAGCATTTTTTTTTCTTTTGCTATTTAGAAATGGTCATGAATGTTACATAAAATTTTATTCTAATTTTAAAAATGGTTACTATCTTCAAATTTAAAACATATAAATGGTTGACCCAATTAAACTATTGGAGCTCTACTACACAAGACATCTAAAAAGATTAATAAAAAAACAATTTTAAAGTGGTCAACTATGGTAATAGTCGACCTTCAAAATTGAAAAAATAAAATAATAATAATAAAGAAAGGTTTATAATAATCCTCACTATGAGCTACTATTTTAATAAACATTGACCTATAAAGTGATTTTTTAGGTCAACAAAAGTATGAATTTGTTTGTTAAACATGGCCAAGTACAATGAAGAACAACATGCGACATGTTGATCCAAATATGAACGGTTTAAGATTTGATATTAGTCTATAATGATTCGTGGTCGCTGATGGTTATATTTAAGCAAGCTTTTGAATCGTTTGGAAATTAAATGAAATTTTCTCACTGCTTAATGTAAAATATGAATACACAATATGAAACTAAATTTGAAAAGAAAAGAACACATGGATCACAAGACATAAATAATGGAGGGCCATTGTTTGAACGTAGTGACGATCATCCTTAGGCCATCTCTTTATTGATATGAGTATTTTCTTCTTTTACCTGCAAGAGTTTATAGGATTAAGTTAATATAAATGTAAAATGAAGGAATAAAAGATGATATCGTTAAACGGGTTCGAGGGGAGATTTTCGTTTGTGAAAAGCTTACCTTAGAGTAGGAATGTGAAGGATATCTCTCTAGTAGTGGTATGGAGGTGGTGGTGAGGCATAAATGTAGTCGTTCTTGGGAGGTGGTGGAGACTTGTACTCGTAGTCTTTCTTGGGTGGTGGTGGAGATTTGTACTCGTAGTCCTTCTTGGGTGGTGGAGGAGACTTGTACTCGTAGTCCTTCTTCGGTGGTGGCGGAGATTTGTACTCGTAGTCCTTCTTGGGTGGTGGAGGAGACTTGTACTCGTAGTCCTTCTTGGGAGGTGGTGGAGACTTGTATTCGTAGTCCTTCTTGGGTGGTGGCGGAGATTTGTATTCATAGTCCTTCTTTGGTGGTGGAGGAGACTTGTACTCATAGTCCTTCTTGGGTGGTGGAGGGGACTTGTACTCGTAATCCTTCTTGGGTGGTGGAGGAGACTTATACTCGTAGTCCTTCTTGGGTGGTGGTGGAGACTTGTATTCGTAATCCTTCTTGGGTGGAGGAGGAGACTTGTACTTGTAATCCTTCTTGGGTGGTGGTGGAGACTTGTATTCGTAGTCCTTCTTAGGAGGTGGAGGAGACTTGTACTCGTAGTCCTTCTTTGGTGGTGGAGGAGACTTGTACTCGTAATCCTTCTTAGGTGGTGGGGGAGACTTGTACTCGTAGCCCTTCTTAGGTGGTGGAGGGGACTTGTACTCGTAATCCTTCTTTGGTGGTGGAGGAGACTTGTACTCGTAGTCCTTCTTGGGTGGTGGAGGAGACTTGTACTCGTAGTCCTTCTTAGGAGGTGGAGGAGATTTGTACTCGTAGTCCTTCTTGGGTGGTGGAGGGGACTTGTACTCGTAATCCTTCTTGGGTGGTGGAGGGGACTTGTACTCGTAGTCCTTCTTGGGAGGTGGGGGAGACTTGTACTCGTAGTCCTTCTTGGGAGGTGGAGGGGACTTGTACTCGTAATCCTTCTTGGGTGGTGGGGGAGACTTGTACTCGTAGTCCTTCTTCGGTGGTGGAGGGGACTTGTACTCGTAATCCTTCTTGGGTGGTGGGGGAGACTTGTACTCGTAGTCCTTCTTCGGTGGTGGAGGGGACTTGTACTCATAATCCTTCTTGGGTGGTGGAGGGGACTTGTACTCGTAGTCCTTCTTGGGAGGTGGTGGAGACTTGTACTCATAATCCTTCTTGGGTGGAGGAGGAGACTTGTACTCGTAGTCCTTCTTCGGTGGTGGTGGAGACTTGTACTCGTAATCCTTCTTGGGTGGTGGGGGAGACTTGTACTCGTAGTCCTTCTTCGGTGGTGGAGGGGACTTGTACTCGTAATCCTTCTTGGGTGGTGGGGGAGATTTATACTCATAGTCCTTCTTCGGTGGTGGAGGGGACTTGTACTCGTAATCCTTCTTGGGTGGTGGGGGAGATTTATACTCATAGTCCTTCTTC